CCTGGTGGTATGGGGCCCCATATGCTAATTGCACCTTCTCCTCTCTTGGGAATATCAGAGCTAATTTTGATTCTATTAGGAGTCTAGTTACAGGCTGCTGAGCTGAATGCACTTTGGGCCAATGGTGCACCAGCACCAAGGCTCCCCTACTACAAGTTGAAATCATAAAAGAGCTAAAATTACTGAGAGCTGAGTGTTGTGTTAAGTGTGGGGGGGCCTGAAGATATATTGCAGAGCAGTTCATGGGACGGCTGGAGCGGCTCATGGGGGGGGCGGAGCTGGCAGAGCAGAGCGATTCGTGGGACAGCTGGTAGAACGGAGCGGAGTGGAGCAGAGCCCCGTGGAGAGGTGGGGCAATCGGCTTCGGACCATGTAAGGTGCCCCTTAAACCCCTCCCCCCCCATTTCCACCCAGGTTGGGAAATAAAACTCTGCAGATAAACTTTCAAACTCTGGGGCTGCCCTGACCAGGGGCAGAGACTTTTGGATTGTTGGACTTTTGGGACTTTGGGTGACTTTTTGGGTTGCTGGACTCAAGAACCAAAGGGAAAGGACATGGCCCAATTTGCTTGGGGTGGGTTTTTTGCTCATGTTGTGTTATGAACCCCATTGGTGGTGTTTCCCCAACATAATGCCACATTGTTTCTCTCTGTTATTAAAACGCTTTTGCTACACTCAGACTCTGTGCTTGGGAGAGGGGAAGTATTGCCTCTTAGAGGCACCCAGTCGGGGTGGTATATATTTGTCCCAGGTCACTGGATGGGGGCTTGAGCCGGTTTTGCATTGTGTTATTGGAATGGAACCCCTAGATACTGAACCCGGCCCTTGTTGCTGCCAACTCTGATGGGCAGAAGGGTTACACTGAGAAAGCAGGACCATCAGCGAGTTATCTTAAGTGCCTATACACAAATGCAAGAAGCCTGGGAAACAAGCAGGGAGAACTGGAAGTCCTGGCACAGTCAAGGAATTATGATGTGATTGGAATAACAGAGACTTGGTGGGATAACTCACATGATTAGAGTACGGTCATGGATGGACACAAACTGTTCAGGAAGGAGAGGCAGGGCAGAAAAGATGGGGGAGTTGCACTGTATGTAAGAGAGCAGTATGACTGCTCAGAGCTCCAGTATGAAACTGCAGAAAAACCTGAGAGTCTCTGGATTAAGTTTAGAAGTGTGAGCAACAAGGGTGATGTTGTGGTGGGAGTCTGCTATAGACCACCAGACCAGGGGCAGAGCTCTTCTTGACCTGCTGCTCACAAACCAGGAAGAATTAGTAGGGGAAGCAAAAGTGGATGGGAACCTGGCAGGCAGTGACCATAAGATGGTTGAGTTCAGGATTCTGACACAAGGAAGAAAGGAAAGCAGCAGAATATGGACCCTGGACTTCAGAAAAGCAGACTTTGACTCCCTCCAGGAACGGATGGGCAGGATCCCCTGGGAGAATAACATGAGGGGGAAAGGAGTCCAGGAGAGTTGGCTGTATTTTAAAGAATCTTATTGAGGTTACAGGAACAAACCATCCCAATGTGTAGAAAGAATAGTAAATATGGCAGGCGACCAGCTTGGCTTAACAGTGAAATCCTTGCTGATCTTAAACACAAAAACGAAGCTTACAAGAAGTGGAAGATTGGACAAATGACCAGGGAGGAGTATAAAAATATTGCTCAAGCATGCAGGAGTAAAATCAGGAAGGCCAAATGACAATTGGAGTTGCAGCTAGCAAGAGATGTTAAGAGTAACAAGAAGGGTTTCTTCAGGTATGTTAGCAACAGGAAGAATGTCAAGGAAATTGTGGTCCTCTTACTGAATGAGGGAGGCAACCTAATGACCGAGGATGTGGGAAAAGCTAATGTACTCAATGCGTTTTTTGCCTCTGTCTTCACGAACAAGGTGAGCTCCCAGATTGCTGCACTGGGCAGCACAGCATGGGGAGGAGGTGACCAGCCCTCTGTGAAGAAAGAAGTGGTTTGGGACTATTTAGAAAAGCTGGACGAGTACAAGTCCATGGGGCTGGATGCGCTGCATCCGAGAGTGCTAAAGGAGTTGGCGGATGTGATTGCAGAGCCATTGGCCATTATCTTTGAAAACTCATGGCGAACGGGGGAGCTCCCGGATGACTGGAAAAAGGTTAAGGTAGTGCCCATCTTTACAAAAGGGAAGAAGGAGGATCTGGGGAACTACAGGCTAGTCAGCCTCACCTCAGTCCCTGGAAAAATCATGGAGCAGGTCCTCAAGAAATCAATTCTGAAGCATTTCAAGGAGAGGAAAGTGATCAGGAACAGTCAGCATGGATTCACCAAGGGCAAGTCATGCCTGACAAATCTAACTGCCTTCTATGATGAGACAACTGGCTCTGTGGATGAAGGGAAAGCAGTGGACATGTTGTTCCTTGACTTTAGCAAAGCTTTTGACACGGTCTCCCACAGTATTCTTGCCAACAAGTTAAAGAAGTATGGGCTGGATGAGTGGACTATAAGGTGGATAGAAAGCTGGCTAGATCATCAGGCTCAACGGGTAGTGATCAATGGCTCCATGTCTAGTTGGCAGCCAGTATCAAGTGGAGTGCCCCAAGGGTCGGTCCTGGGGCCGGTTTTGTTCAATATCTTCATTAATGATCTGGAGGATGGCGTGGACTGCACCCTCAGCAAGTTTGCAGATGACACTAAACTGGGAGGAGAGGTAGATACACTGGAGGGTAGGGATAGGATACAGAGGGACCTAGACAAATTAGAGGATTGGGCCAAAAGAAATCTGATGAGGTTCAACAAGGACAAGTGCAGAGTCCTGCACTTAGGACGGAAGAATCCCATGCACCACTACAGACTAGGGACCAAATGGCTAGGCAGCAGAAAAGGACCTAGGGGTGACAGTGGACGAGAAGCTGGATATGAGTCAACAGAGTGCCCTTGTTTGCCAAGAAGGCCAATGGCATTTGGGATGTATATGTAAAGACATTGCCAGCAGATCGAGGGACGTGATCGTTCCCCTCTATTCGACATTGGTGAGGCCTCATCTGGAGTACTGTGTCCAGTTTTGGGCCCCACACTACAAGGAGGATGTGGAAAAATTGGAAAGCGTCTAGCAGAGGGCAACAAAAATGATTAGGGGACTGGAACACATGACTTATGAGGAGAGGCTGAGGGAACTGGGATTGTTTAGTCTGCAGAAGAGAAGAATGAGGGGGGATTTGACAGCTGCTTTCAACTATCTGAAAGAGAGTTCCAAAGAGGATGGATCTAGACTGTTCTCAATGGTAGCAGATGACAGAACGAGGAGTAATGGTCTCAAGTTGCAGTGGGGAAGGTTTAGGTTGGATATTAGGAAAAACTTTTTCACTAGGAGGGTGGTGAAACACTGGAATGCGTTACCTAGGGAGGTGGTGGAATCTCGTTCCTTTGAGGTTTTAAGGTCAGGCTTGACAAAACCCTGGCTGGGATGATTTAGTTGGGGATTGGTCCTGCTTTGAGCAGGGGTTGGACTAGATGACTTCCTGAGGTCCCTTCCAGCCCTGATATTCTATGATTCTGTGTGATATGGCGGTGAAAAAATTTAATGCGGTCTTGGGATGCATCAGGAGAGGTATTTCCAGTAGAGATAAGGAGGTGTCAGTACCGTTATATGGGGCACTGGTGAGACCTCACCTGGAATACTGTGTGCAGTTCTGGACTCCCATGTTTAAGAAAGATGAATTCACACTGGAACAGGTACAGAGAAGGGCTACTAGGATGATGCGAGGAATGGAAAACCTGTCTTATGAAAGGAGACTCAAAGAGCTTGGCTTGTTTAGCCTAACCAAAAGAAGGCTGAGGGAAGGTATGATTGCTCCTTATAAATATATCAGAGGGATAAATACCAGGGAGGGAGAAGAATTATTTAAGCTCAGTACCAATGTGGACACAAGAACAAATGGATATAAACTGGCCATCAGGAAGTTTAGACTTGAAATTAGACGAAGGTTTCTAACCATCAGAGGAGTGAAGTTCTGGAACAGCCTTCCAAGGGGAGCAGTGGGGGCAAAAGACATATCTGGCTTCAAGACTCAGCTTGATAAGTTTATGGAAGGGATGATATGATGGGATAGCCTAATTTTGGCATTTAATTGATCTTCAACTATTAGCGGTAGATATGCCCAATGGATGTTAGATGGGGTGGGATCTGAGTTACTACAGAGAATTCTTTCCTGGGTGACTGGCTGGTAAGTCTTGCCCACATGCTCAGGGTTTAACTGATCACCATATTTGGGGTCAGGAAAGAATTTTCCTCCAGGGCAGATTGACAGAGGCCCTGAGGGTTTTTCACCTTCCTCTGCAGCGTGGGGCACGGGTCACTTGCTGGAGGATTCTCTGCACCTCAAATTCTTTAAACCACAATTTGAGGACTTCAGTAACTCAGACATAGGTTAAAGGTTTGTTACAGGAGTGGGTGGGTGAGATTATGTGGCCTGCATTGTGCAGGAGGTCAGACTAGACGATCATGATGAGTCCTTCTGACCTTAAAGTCTATGAGTATATGAGCAGGGAGGATGACGACTGCTGGCACTGGGGGAGCCCCGGCCACTTTCAGGATTCCCCAAAGAGAAGAGGCATTGGTGACAGGTTGGGTCACAGAGACCCCCTGGGACTGCCACCTGATGTGCTGGGACTGCCTCTGAGCCCATTTTCCCTGGCAGCCTGGGACTTCAGTACCCTGCCTGGTTGTGCCAGACACACTAGCCTGATACAGAGACCCAGGTCTGAACAATGTTCCCCAAAAACCGCAGGCTTAACTGAAAACAGCTTAAGAAGTGCTCCTGTCTCCAACACCCAGATACCCAGTTCCCAGTGGGGTCCAAACCCCAAATAAATCCATTTTATTCTGTATAAAACTTATACATGGCAAACTCATAGAGGGTGAACAATTTATAACACTGATAGAGAGAAATTCACAGCTGTTTGTTCCCCCAGGAATTAATTATTTGCTCTGGGTTAATTAATAAGTAAAAAGTGATTTTATTAAATACAGAAAGTAGGATTTAAGTAGTTTCAAGTAGTAACTGACAGAACAAAGTGAATTACTAAGCAAAAATAAAATAAAACACACAAGTCTAAGCCTAATACAGTAGGAAACTAAATGCAGGTAAATCTCGCCCTCAGAGATGTTCCAATAAGCTTCTTTTACAGACTAGACTTCCTCCTAGTCTGGGTCCAGCAATCACTGACACCCCCGTAGTTACTATCCTTTGTTCCAGTTTCTTTCAGGTATCTCTTTGGGGTGGAGAGGCTATCTTCTGAGCCATCTGAAGACAAAATGGAGGTGTTTTCAGGACCTTATATAGTCTTTCTCTTGGGCGACATCACAGCCACAAGATGGGGTCTCTAGCCACCTGGGCAAGTCACATGTCTATGTCTACACTCTCCTTACAGTGTGTATGATAACACCCATTTTTTCATGTTCTGTGTGTATATAAATCTCCTCACTATATTTTCCACTGAATGCATCCGATGAAGTGAGCTGTAGCTCACGAAAGCTTATGCTCAAATAAATTGGTTAGTCTCTAAGGTACCACTAGTACTCCTTTTCTTTTTATGTCTATGAATGATTCAGCTTTTTGAAGGCCAACACCATTGTTTACATGTTAGTTTGAATGTTCCCAGGAGAGCTCAGATGTGGATTGGCGTCTCCCAAAGTCCATTGTTAGTTAAGTACTCTCAATTACTTCAATAACCCCTTCACACTATGTTGACCAAATCTGTCTTATGTGCTCCCTACAGCAAACACTTTAAATACAAGCATAGAGCCAACACTCATAATTTCAGATATAAAAATGATACATGTATAAAAATAGGATGAATATATTCAGTGGATCATAACCTTTGCAAAGATATGTTACATGGCATATCTAGCATAAAACATATTCCAGTTATGTCATATTTACACTCATAACCATATTTCTATAAAGCATTATGGGATGCAACATCACAGTGTTCGGGGCAGAGAAACTGAAGAGGGCAGGAGATCAGGGCTCACCCACTGCCCCATAACACTGGGGCTCAAGGGAGGAGGTGGGAATTGCTGGTGCAGTAGAGTTGGGAACTACCTGGAAGGAGCAATTAGAGATGTCTGGTGCTGGCTTCTCCTGGACTCAGGTGCCCAAATAGCCCTTGCACGTAGCGGATTGTGGAAGCAAGCTACAGCTGAGAGTCTCTGAGTGCAGTCCTCAGCCCTGTCAGTTAGCTGCCAAAATAAATTTGTTAGTCTCTAAGGCCACAAGTACTCCCTAGAAGAGAGGTGATTGCCCCAGGCAGATTGAAGGGCTGGGGCTGTGAATATGAGGAGGGCCTGTATGAGCCCAATCCTTCAAGTAGGCAGGAGCTCCAGTCCTGGTGGGACACTCGATTGGCAGGAGCCAATGGGGCAAAGTGGAGGGAGCCAACATGTCAGTGGAGCCATGGGCCACTTATCCCAGGATGGTGACTGGCACATTTGAGATGGGTGCGTCGGTCACGCAGGAAGCTCCCAAAACTGAGACACCAGCTGATATGGGGGAGTTGAGACTGGACCAGGGTCAAGGTTGCAAACGACTGGGAAGAAAGGCCCAGAGGGGGGCGGAGAAGTTGGGACTTGAGAATAAGCTAAACCAACACAGTCTGGAGCTGTAGAGGTGCGAGCAGAACAGGAAGTTGTGTTCAAATGCGCAGATGGACTTACTCATGGCATCCTAGATCCCTTTGACCAGGATCTAGGATGCACCAGGGCAACGAACCAATGGATTAACCCTGAAAATGCCAGACCTAATAACAAGGACCATGAAGTGTCATAGAATCATAGAATCATAGACCCATAGAATATTAGGGTTGGAAGAGACTTCAGGAGGTCATCTAGTCCAATCCCCTGCTCAAAGCAGGACCAACCCCAACTAAATCATCCCAGCCAGGGCTTTGTCAAGCTGGGCCTTAAAAACCTCTAAGGAAGGAGATTCCACCACCTCCCTAGGTAACCCATTCCAGTGCTTCACCACCCTCCTAGTGAAATAGTTTTTCCTACTATCCAACCTAGACGACGCCTGCTGCAACTGGAGACCATTGCTTCTTGTTCTGTCATCTGCCACCACTGAGAAGAGCTGAGCTCCATCCTCTTTGGAACCCCCCTTCAGGGAGTTGAAGGCTGATATTGAATCCCCCATCACTCTTCTCTTCTGCAGATTAAATAAGCCCAGTTCCCTCAGCCTCTCCTCGTAAGTCATGTGCCCCAGCCCCCTAATTATTTTCGTTGCCCTCTGCTGGACTCTCTCCAATTTATCCACATCACTTCTGTAGCGGGGGGACCAAAACTGGACACAATACTCCAGGTGTGGCCTTACCAGTGCTGAATAGAGGGAAATAATCACTTCCCTCGATCTGCTGGCAATGCTCCTACTAATTCAGCCCAATATGCTATTGGCCTTCTTGGCAACAAGGGCACACTGCTGACTCATATCCAGCTTCTCGTCCACTGTAATCCCCAGGTCCTTTTCTGCAGAATTGCTGCTTCGCCAGTTGGTCCCCAGCCTGTAGCGGTGTATGGGATTCTTCCTTCCTAAGTGCAGGACTTTGCATTTGTCTTTGATGAACCTCATCAGATTTTTTTTGGCTCAATCCTCCAATTTGTCTAGGTCACTCTGGACCCTATGTACCTCTCCCCACAGCTTAGTGTCATCTGCGAATTTGCTGAGGGTGCAATCCATCCCATCATCCAGATCATTAATAAAGATGTTGAACAAAAGCAGTCCGAGGACCAGCCCCTGGGGAACTCTGCTTGATACTAGCTGCCAACTAGACATCGAGCTGTTGTTCACTACCTGTTGAGCCCGACAAACTAGCCAGCTTTCTATCCACCATTCATCCTCAGCAGGAGTTCAAGCAACAGCTGTGAGATGTAGGTGAGAGGGGCTATTAGGCCCTCTTTGAGCCCGTGGGCTGCCTGTGATGGGGCGCGTTCACTTCTTGTGAGCACCTCCTGTTGGGTTGGTGCAAACCTGCACTCTCTCTTTCACAGTGCCCCCGTCGGCTGCTGCCCTTGTCCAGTTTTCAGTGGCTCATCCCTCAGGCCAAGTCACACAAAATCTAAAATGGTGTCTCTGGCCCTGTCTCTGGGCTCAGGTCTCAGCCCCTCCTGGGATAGCATTAAGTCCGTCCCCTGCCCACGTATGGAGCAGTGTCCCAGGGCTTTCTCCCTGGAGACTTTGTCCTCAGCGGTTCTCACTGACCCAGTGCTGCAGCCGGGCCACCTCTCATATTCTGTCCCGTTCCAGGGAGGGTCCCCTCTCTAGGGTCTTCAGCCCCATCCTTCAGCCCTTTTAAATTCTAGACCCTTTCTTGGACTTCTAAACAACACTTGTCCCCTTTTCGGGGCTTTGGCCATTTTCCCAGTGGCCAGTGTGGGAGGACCTGGGCCCACCCACTAGTCCGGGTCCTGACCCAGGGACCCTGCAATTAGCTGTCACGTGCTGCTTCCTTTAATAATTGCTATTGGTATTCCCTGGGCCACTTCCCACACAGCCCCTTCCTCTTCACCCTGGCCCCAGGGCTGAAGTTCTTCCTCACGGAATGCCAGTGCCAGCAAACCCGTCTTCTGGTTTTCCCTTGAGTTCCAGCCACCAGCAAGGAGCCCCTTCCTTGCTCCTCCGGTCCCTGCCAGGAGCTGATCATTCTGCTCAGGCCCTGCAGCTCTTTTAAACTGAGCCTGCTGGGCTCTGATTGGCTGCTTCCCGGTGGCCTTCCTAGGCAGGCCTGGAGGACCCACCTTCACTGCCCCTTTTCTGGGGCAGGGTGTGGTAGGACCACAAGGCCTCAAAGGGCCCAGTACGTCCCCTCACACTGCCCCCGTGGTGTTGGTGCCGAAAACATGTGGAGACGGGTGGGACTGCATGGATTATCGCAGACAGAATGATGTCCCTGTTAAAGAGGCCTATCTCATGCCCAGGCTGCAGACACATTGGATCCCCTGGCTAGCGCCCCACGGCTGCCCACCCTTGGCCTGGCCAGTGGGGACTGGCAAATGGTGCATCCAGACGACATAGCTGAAACAGCTTCCTGCCCCAAGCAAGGACTTGCCAGGTGCAAGGTGGTGCCGTTTGGTCCCTGTAACACGTCTGGTACGTTCCAAAGGCTCGTGGACATCTTGATAGCAGACTGGCAGGGGACATCCTGACCAGGGGACCTGGATGCAGGGGTGACAGGAAGGCAGGAGGGGCTGGTAAGGCCTACCAGCCCCTCCCGCCTTACTTGAAACTGCTGCCGCAGCAGTGCTTTATCATTGCTGCCCTTTTGCCCTGCCAATGGGGGTGGGGGCAAAAGGAGCAGCTGCCCCGGGAGCCCTGGGCGGCGTGGGCCAGGCAGCGTGGAAGGGCTGGCTGGGGAACACTGATCCCCAGCCCGCCCCTTCCAGGAGGGCTGGAGCCGGCCCCCGTACCAGTAAGTTTTCAGTTGTACTTTCACCCCTGCCTGGATGACACCATTTTGAAGAACACCCGCAGAAGTGTCAAGGAGTGTCAAGACGCCTTCCCGGAGCTGAAGCAGCGGCTGATGGCAGCTCCCATCCTAGCATATCCACACCCGCAGCCGCCTTTCCTGCTGGACACGGACACAAGTGAGGTCGTCGCTGGGGTGTTTTGTGGTAGGCCGTGCTCACCGAGCCCAGGACGGCAAGAAGGAGCTGCTCACTGTGGTGATCGTCACCAAACGTTTCCAGCACGTCCCTCTAGGCAGACAAGTCACACTGAGGACAGCTCACTGTTCTCTCTGCGGGCTGCACAATTCCCACCCACCGAAAGGGCCGTGAGCCAGATGGTTGGCACCGTTGGCTCAGTCTGACTACCAGACTGCACAGCGCCCAGGGAAGCAACACCAGGCTGCCAGAGCCCCGCCCGGGAGGGCTGATTTGAGAGGAGCTGCACCAGAGGCTGAGGTGCTGGAAGTGCTGGCATTCTCCACAGGGGGCCAGCCAGGGGGGTAACACTCAGAGGGTCAGAAAAGGCCAGTGGGTCAGTTTCCCATCCCCATTTCGGCCCATTGGTCTGTGCCCATTCCCTTGCCTACCGTTCTGTTATATAAATGGTTGCAAAACTCCTCAGTGTCTAATTGGGTTTTGTGTCAGGAATTTCCAGACCCACATAAGCAAAAGGGGCAGATGCCCGACCTGGAGAGGAAGAGGTGCAAGCCTGTTACCTTGGGACATCTACCAGCACCTGTGTCCAACTCAGCGGGTGTTTGGCACAATAGAGACCGGCCCCAATAAAACACCCCCCTGCAATTCACCCCACAACCCTCACCAGTACACTTTTAATGCCCTCTCACAGGAGGCAGGGGTGAGTTTGTGTCCCCTTCGTATGTTGGCTGACTGGGGGTGGGTTGGGATCAGTGCGGCCCTAGGGCTGCCCTAATATCACTGCTTGCATTGGCTCCCTATGGCACTGCCTGGCAGCCAAGAATATCAGGAGCGCAGAGAGCTCTGCCCACACGCTCTCCTGCCCAGGGCCCCAGACATGCCCCATGTCCTGTGCAGGAGTGGCCTACTTGCCAGACCCTTTATGCCAGAACCTGACTGCCAGTCCCTGTGGTGACACTGCACCCCCACTCCCACGGGTCACAGCACCGGCCCAGCTCTGGGCTGTCCCCTTGCCCTCGCTGTCTGTCCCTCCCACCACCAGGGCTGCTTGGCACTAAGGGGATAGGCAGGGCATGCAGGGCTGCAGTGTCCAGATGTGGGAACTGGCTGCACTGTTTATTAAAGCTGGGCCCAGACCAGAGCACTGGACCTGCCCTGCCCCGCAAACTTCAAACTTTGGGGAACTTTGGATCTGGTTCTAGCTCCACAGTCCAGATCTAACTCCACTAGGGACCGAACTGGAGACGCTGATCTGATGTCAGACTCCTCCCGACTGTGGGGCCAGAATCACAACCAAACTTTCCATTTTGGGGCCATTGCTGCTCTGTAGGGCCCCGGGCTAGCCTGCTAGAGAGCAGTTCCCCCTGGGGAAACAGCTGGCACTTTGATCCAGAGCCAGGAGCTTTAGCAAAACCATAGCCAGAGAGACAGGCAGATCATCTGGCTGAAACACCCACTGGTTCCTGACTCATCTCTAAATCACTGTCCTTTTACGTCCGTTTAGGTTTAATGAAATGAATATTGTCTCCCGTACTGGCCAACACTGTTCCCTCTAAGCTGTGCATGTGTGTGCTTGCACACAGATCCTAAACCCCGTGCACACGGCGAAACACCGCGTGCACAAACATTTCCACAGAAGCACAAAAATTTGCACAGAAGAAATTTTTTGCGCACACGGCTTGTCAAAAATTAGAGGGAACATTGCTGGCCAATGGTCATATAATTGCCTGGAAGAAAAGGCTCTGAGCTTTCCTTTTTGTTCTCACCCTCAATGACCCCGTGTTAATACCCACCTGTCCCTGGAGAGCTCATCAGCGCCACCCTTGCAAAGGCCAGAGGGGTTACCTCTGCTTCACCGCCAGCCCCGGGGCTGAAGGGACATAGTGCAAAGCTCTCCCTGGTCAGCAGTGCACTGAGCTAGGCCCAGGCTGGCTGGCTGGCCCCCAGACAGATCGATTAGTAGAAACATATTCACTGAAGATTAACAACCAAACAAGGAATGAAACAGCTGCTGAGTCTCAATGAATGTGGTTTTAATCATCAACTGCTATTACTATGCTAACAAATAATTCCCTGGTTAAATCGACACGTGTTGCCCGACTGCTGCTGACTGCGCCCCCGGAATCCCAGGCGAGCAAAGTCCTGGTGCACGACACGCCCGCTGTGTGCAGGTCGAATGCACCCGGTGCATAGCACTGCTGGACGCTCCAGGCCAGGCCTGTCAGAATACACCTGCGGGCTGCTGAACTGGCCGCACATCCCAGTGGAACGGACCTGCCGTGCTGCCCAGTATGTCCTGTTCTGCACTGATCCGATGGAACCATGATGGTCCCCAGACCCAAGTCTGTGCAGCCGGCCCATTGGGAGTTACCTCCCAGGGCAGTTTGCAGCTGACCCTGCTCTAAGCTGTGTTTGGGGGCGAGGGGTTCTGGCCCCATCCCCACCCGCACCTGCCCCTGGAAGTGCCCCGGTTGGGAAGCTCTTTGGATTGGATGTGTTTGCGAGGCCCCCTTTCCCACCTGGCCCAGGGAGATGCCGCAGAATAACTCAGCCCTCATCTGTCTGCACCACCCAACTCCTTTCCTGCTGGCAGCAGGGCAGGAACGGAGCTCCTGGCCTCAGCAGGAAGGCCCCTAATCCTGCTTCAAGCCCCTGGGATGTTCAGGGCATTTCAGCAGCAACTCACCTTGGGAGTGGGGGTGTCCCTCAGTCAGCCCAAAAGTGCAGTCATTAGGAGCAGCCAAACTTTGCTTTTCTCGGGGGGCTGGGGGGCTTTGGGTTCAAATTCAGACCCTGAGGAGGCCATGACTAGGGACACCTGGACCTGCCAGCTTGGGAAACAGTTTCTGGGGAGTGGCTCCCCAAAAGACCCGTGTCATGTCCTTGGGGTGAGGGTGGAATGAAATCTTGTGCATGGGAGGGACTCCCCAGTGGGGGGAGGCAGGTAAGCACAAGAGTGGGCCAGTTGTTCTCCACACCCACTGGCGGTAGGGCAAGGAGTGAGAGGCTTAATCTGCAGCCAGGGAGAGTTAGGTGAGCTAGTAGGAAAAGCTTTCTGACTCTAAGGACAGTTGAGCCCTGGACCAGGCTCCGCAGGGCAGTGGGGAGTCCCCGTCACTGCAGGTGTGTAAGAACAGGCTGGACAAACCCCCGTCAGGGAAGGGCCAAGAGGTTTACTTTGTCCTGCCTCAGTGCAGGGAGCTGGACACGCTGCCCTCTGGAGATCCCTTCCAGCCCCACATCTCTGTCAGCAGGAAGCCTGAAACAAGGGCTCAAAGAGATGTAAATGGCCTCCTTCACCTCAGCTTAGCTGGCGTCATTGTTAACCATTTCATTGCTGTTCAGAGCAAGCGAGAAAGGAGGAGGAGGAGCAAGCCCTGAAGATCTGCACCATCTACAAAGAGGTGAGTTGGCTCAGTGTCGCAGGGAGCTGGGGCGGGTATGTCCTGCCAAGCACACGTGCTCCTCAGTGTGGGCAGGGGGAACAGGGTGACACAAGCCAGAGAAGCTTTCTAGGCAATCATGGGTTTGAAGCCTCAAACCTGCATATCTGCTGCAGAGGTCTGAGCTTCCCCTGCCTAGCGGGGAAAGGGGAGGGGTAAATCCACAGGCAGTCTCCAGACGGATTTGGGGAGACGGGTAGGGCCAGCCCTGATTTGCGGGGTCCTGGGCAAAGGGACCATCCATTTCAGACCAGGTTCCCCGCAACACCCATAACTACTGCCCCACCCCTACCTCCCGCGGCTGCCTCCTGGCTGCCTAAGATTCACCCAGGCTGTAGGGACTGCCTGTGTGTGAGGCTCTGCACGCACACTAACCCCTGGATGCCCTGCCCCCCAGGGCAATGCCCCGCCTGAGCTAGGTGCCCAGGCTCTAGGGTGACCAGATGGCCCGATTTTATAGGGACAGTCCCGATATTCAGGGCTTTTTCTTATATAGGTGCCTATTGCCCCCACCTCCTGTCCCAGTTTTTCACACTTTCTGTCTGGTCTCCCTACCAGGCTCCCCACCCACTGTGTAGGGCGAGGTAGGGACGACGCTCCCCAGGGGTCTCCAGGCTTGTGAGCACCTCGCTCCCATCTGCCCTTAGCATGAAGAAGCCTTAGCTGGGCCTGCCGGGGTCAGCTCCCCAGCTCCCCCAGCCACAGGCAACACAAGCCCTGCCCGCTAGGCCTCGCTGGCCCTGCCGTCTCTCTCCAGGTTAGCGATAGACACGGCCCACCCCCTAGCCCGCCCTGGAGTATCCAGCCCCTGGCCCATTGGAGACTCACAGTAGTCACAGATTCCGGGCTCCCGGAGAAGCCGTGCACCCCTGCTTTCACTCCAGCTCGGTCCTTTGCTTCACGCAGGGCACTTAGATACGTCTATAGTGGAAACAGGGAGATGTTTATCGAACAAAGGGCAGAGGTTCAAATGACAGCACATAGCCGTATTGGAAAAAAATACATATCAAATAAAATCAACCCGCATTCTAGAGCCTAGGCTTGCTTAACTGCCACTTTCCTGCCTTCCCGAGCAATGCTCACCCGAAGTGTTACAGCCGGGCCAGGCTGGGGTCTCCCGTTCACAAGACAGCCTTGCTATCGCTGGCCTCCTTGGCGAATGACCCAGGGATGGGTGCAGCCCCAGATATACCCCAACAATCCACTGTCTTTAGCTGGTTTCAGAGTAGCAGCCGTGTTAGTCTGTATCCGCAAAAAGAAAAGGAGGACTTGTGGCACCTTAGGGACTAACCAATTTATCTGAGCATCAGCTTTCGTGAGCTACAGCTCACTTCATCTTTAGCAGTGACCGGATTCCGTCCTGTTGTTTATTTCTTCCTGACAATTTCCTCTCTTGAAGATTTCACAATCTCTTCATCAGCATTTGGCTGAGTGTGCAACCAGGCGTCCACTGGGAGACACGCAACACCCACTACACACACAGCCAGACGGGAATAAATGCCTGTTCCTGCCTGCTTAAAAAGAACCTGCCCAAGACAAGTCAACCCCACCCTCCCGCCGCCCCATCACTGGCTGGAAGAACAGCATTTCCAGTATAGACACATAACTCCTGCAATATGAGCTGTATATGCGTTTCACCGTGACTGTGACAACTTCTGGCTCCCCGTGCCCGCCTTCAGTGAAGTGCTATCCGACCCAGGGCCCTTTGCCAGTCGGCACCCAGTGGGCCTGGGTCATGCGAGGCAACTACGACCGGGATTCTCAGAAGCGAGCCAGCTGGGCAGGGGTGAATTGCTGAGGAGAGGGGTGAGGCTTAAACCCCAATCCTCAAAGGTATTTCCCGTTGATCTGGACCTTCAGTACTTCAGTACCTCCCTCTGCTTGGGATTCTCCATCCTTAACCCCCTCCTGCAACTCCTCTGGGCTCTTCCAGCTGAGCCCCAGCCTTTGTAAGAACTGGGAGAGAGATCGAGCCCTGCCCTGGACCACTCCCGGCATGTGGGAGACCTAGGGCTTGGCTACACTTGCAGATGTAGAGCGCTTTGAGTTAAACCCGCCTTGGGGGAGCGCAGCAGGGGGGAAGCGCTGCAGTCTGTCCACACGGACAGGAACAAGCGCACCGGTGTGGCCACATTTGCGGCACTTGCAGCGGCATCGGGAGCGGTGCATTGTGGGCAGCCATCCCCCAGAGCACCTCTTCCCAGTCGGGCGCTGTGGCTTGTGGGAAGGGGGCAGGGGGTGCAGGGCACTCTGGGTCCTGTCCCAACGCCCCGTGATGCATCGGTTCGCATCCCAGCAATCCCTGGGCTTCCGTCCACATTTGGCGCCATCTGTCAACGTTTTTGCACTGCGCGCTGTCTTCCCTTTCGGTCTGCGGGAATGGAGCCCGAACGGCGGAGGAGTCTGCTGACGAGTCTCGCCAGCACGTCACGTTTGGCGGTCGAGTTACTCCTTACGATCCAAAGTGACCGTGAGGAGTCCGACGATGATATCGACTCGAATAACGCTTGTGGCATTCACGGACGTGCTCACCGCCGTGGAACGCTGCTTTTGGGCTCGGGAACAAGCACTGAGCGGTGGGATCACATCGTCAGGCACATCTGGGATAACGGGCAGTGGCTGCAGAACCTTCGGCTGAGAAAAGGCACTTTCATGGGACTGTGTGAGGAGCTCGCCCCCGCCCTGCGGCGCAAGGACACAAGATTGAGAGCTGCCCTGAGGGTGGAGAAGCGGGTGGCTGTTGCAATCTGGAAGCTGGCAACTCCAGACAGCTACCGATCAGTTGCTAACCAGTTTGGAGTGGGAAAGTCGACCGTTGGAATCATGTTGATGCAAATTTGCAGGGCCATTAATCACATCCTGCTCAGAAGAACCGTGACTCTGGGTAATGTGCATGAAATGGGTTTCCCTAACTGCGGAGGGGCGATAGATGGCACACATATTCCAATTCCGGCACCAGCCCACCTAGCCTCCGAGTACGTTAATCGGAAGGGGTATTTCTCTATGGTCTCCAGGCGCTTGTGGATCACCGTGGGCGTTTCATTGACATTAACGCAGGCTGGCCCGGAAAGGTGCATGACGCACGCATCTTTCGGAACACTGGCCTGTTCAGGAAGCTGCAAGATGGGACTTTCTTCCCAGACCAGAAGATCACCGTAGGGGAAATCGAAATGCCCATTGTGATCCTTGGAGACCTTGCTTACACTTTAATGCCATGGCTCATGAAACCCTACACAGGGAGCCTTGACAGCACCAAGGAGCGGTTCAACAACAGACTGAGCCAGTGCAGAATGACTGTGGAGTGTGCTTCTGGCCATTTAAAGGGCCGCTGGTGCTCTCTGTATGGGAAGCTGGACCTGGCCGATGACAGCATCCCGGCGGTTATATCTGTGTGCTGTACCCTCCATAACACTTGTGAAGGGAAGGGTGAAAGCTTCACTCAGGCATGGAACTTGAAAGTTCAACACCTGGAGGCTGAATTTGAACAGCCAGAGAGCAGGGCTATTAGAGGGGCCCAGCGCGGGGCTGCAAGAATTAGGGATGCCTCGAGAGAGCAATTTGAGGCTGAAAGCCACCAGTAATGTCAGGTGCCCTGCACGGGAGTGAAGTGCAGTGGTTCCAACGGTAGTAGGAATCTGTGTTTGCTCCGCTGACTTGTGGTGCCTGTTGCTTTCCTGGGCTAAGTATCTTTTACTTTATGCAATAATAAAGAATGTTTTTAAAGCCAAAAAATCCATTTTTTGAAAAGAAACACGACCGCTTGGGAAACAGAAAGGGCAAGGGGGTGGGGTGGGGTGGGGAACGGTACAATCACAGATTTGCGTATGTCCTGTTCTCATACTCAGCCTTCCTGCCTGGAGTGCTGTGCAACGAGTGCTGCACTTCGGGCTGGCTCTGCTGCCTGGTGACGGGGGCTGAGTGCGGTGGGCAGTTTGCAGGGCTGGGTGGTGAAGCTACAGGTGTTGGAGGCAGCTGGTGGCGGTAAGAACCGAGATGTTGGGGAAAGTGGGTTGGAGGTGACATGGGGGCACAAGGGAAGGAGTTTTGGGACAAGGGCGGCGGGGGTGGGGGGTCGGTGCTCTGCCTGCATGGCTACGAGCGCCTGGATCGAGTCCGCTTGGTGCTCCATTATGCTTATCAGCCGATCCGGGCTTTGCTGCCGGAGCACCGCGCTTTTGTGCCGGCGTGCCGCATTCTGCTGGCGGATCCTCCTTTCACTGTCCCGCGAGTCCGGGACTTTTCAATTTTCATGACTTGAATGCTGCATTACTTCAAGCAACATGACTTCCTTGCTTCTACGTGGCCTCTTTCTGATTCTTTGGAGTCTTTCGGCCGGTGATAACACGGAGGGCTGAGATCTCAAGGTTGCATCTGTAAAGGCAAAAGGCAACACTTGACAGAGGCAGCAGTGTTCACAGCAGACAGAGCAATGATTCCCCCGTACTTAAGGGCAAGCACAGTCTACACAATAGCATAATTTGCCCATCCCAAAGCGAGCACACATAACCCACAGGAGCCCCCAAATGGTGAGTAAGCACAGGGGCAAGGGGGACTGATTGCCCTCTGGGTTTCTGTGCCTTGGGGAGAGCCCCTACACTGAACACGGTCCCCACATTTTCCACAGGAGTCCGTCCTGGAAGGTTTCAGAGTAGCAGCCGTGTTAGTCTGTATTTACAAAAAGAAAAGGAGGACTTGTGGCACCTGAGAGACTAACCAATTTATTTGAGCATCAGCTTTCGTGAGCTACAGCTCACTTCATCTTATGCTCAAATAAATTGGTTAGTCTCTAAGGTGCCACAAGTCCTCCTTTTCTTTTTGGGTCCTGGAAGAGATCTCGCTGCTGAGGGTGACCTGGGAAGCAAGGGAGGGTCTTCTACTGCAATGGGCTTCCGCCCGGGCCCATCTGCAGCTTGCCTGTGTGCAGCAATGGTCCCTCCGCCCCTCCTGGCACGGTGGAGGCATGGTCACCTGGACAGATGCGCAGAGAGCACTCCACGCCTGGCTGAGCAAACAGGAAGGGGATTTTCAAAATTCCCAGAGAATTTAAAGGGCGGGTGTGACGGGTGGTCACCTGAGGCCAGGGCAGTAGAGTTCAAAGTGATGACCAGAGTGGCTAGCACAGGCATCGTGGGACACGTCTGGAGGCCGGTCAGAGCGCACTATAGGACCAGGGCGTCCACACTGGCGCCGTGGTGCTCCAGCGCGGGGCGCACAGGACGCTCTTCCACTCGCCGAGGTGGCGTACCAGCAGCGCTGTAGCTGCGGAGACAGAGCGCTCCACGTGCCTTGCCAGTGTGGACGGGGAGTGAGCTAGTGCGCCCGGGGCTCCCTTAATGCGCTGTGAGAAAACCTGGATTTGTGCTGGAAATGGCCCAACTTGATGATCACTTTAGATAAGCTATTACCAGCAGGACAGTGGGGTGGGAGGAGGTATTGTTTCATATTCTCTGTGTATATATAAAGTCTGCTGCAGTTTCCACGGTATGCATCCGATGAAGTGAGCTGTAGCTCATGAAAGCTCATGCTCAAATAAATTGGTTAGTCTCTAAGGTGCCACAAGTACTCCTTTTCTTTTTGTAACTCGCAAGTGGAGCCAAGCCCCTAGTTTGCAGTCCGTGCTCTGCCTGATTGGGATCAGAGCCTTTAATCCAGGTCTCCTAGCCCCAGGGCATGCCTTGAGCTGCAGGCTGGTGGGTATTCATAGAATCATAGAAACTCAGGGGGTCATCTAGTCCAACCCCCTGCTCAAAGCAGGACCAATCCCCAAAAGGAATTCCTTCCCTGACTGGGAATCGAACCCAGGCCGTGGCGGTGAGAGCACCAAATCCTAACCACTAGACCACCAGGGAGGTGATATCCTGGGGCAGGGCTCTGCCAAGCTCTCCTGCTGAAGTCATTCCACCTTGTACAAATAATTAGTGAGTCTTTGGAGCAGAGAGAGCGCAAATGAGGGGCTGTATCACCGGGGCTCAGGGCTGTGGCTGGAATGTGGGTTCCAGTCCCTGCTCCAAATCAGGCAAAGTGGGGTAGCCCATGCCTGCTCCCAGCTGCCTTTTGTGGGGGCTGGATGCGCTCAGAGCTCAGGCTCCACTGGCGAGATAGCCGGGGGACAGGACACCCAGTGTGAGAACCCTGCTCCCCTGGGGGCTCCAGGCAGCTCCTTAGCTGCGGGGTTGGCCAGCAGCTGAGCTTAAATGTTCGACGTAGGCAACTAAAGAGCGTTGCAGGTCTAGCCCCATGGGAGTTCGCCCTGAGCTGGGGAGGTGGCAGGTTGCGTGAAGCAGAGGGCTCCCAGAAGCGTGCAGGGGGCCCTGTACAGCCGCACGGGTCACCCACTCTGCTGTCGGGGCATGGGGAGGCTGGTGGAACCCGAGTGCGTTTCCCCTCTGCTGTGGTCGGA